ATGTTGAGATACAAGAGTATCAACATCGAACAGTGACAAATCCACAGGCACACAAAAGGCAGAACAGAGTCAAAAGTGGGGGAGCAGCAGGACGAGTAGCAGTGGCAAGCAGAGAGCCATCATACACCGAAGCGAGATGAGAACCCATAGCAGTGACAGAAGCAGCAGGACCGTCGGGATGACTGTAGGTAGCAGAAGACTCTTTGTTACGCTTGATGCGCTTGATAGCAGCAGTAGCTTTTGAGAAATCCTTTTCTAGAATACCACAGAACTGTTTCCAGGACCTTCGCTTTGCAGCTTGCACCAGGGAGCGAAACTTGCGATGCGCAATTTTGTATAAGGACCATTTTTCAACTTTGACAATACCAAAGGCATGCCTCCATTGACTATAAGAGTGATCACGTACAGTAGCAGCATCCTGAATTTCTTGCGTCCAGTACTTCTTCCAATGGCCAGGACGACCAGATTTCACACCAATAGAACTATCCAGAGATTCATACAAACATTGATTCAAAGAATCGTTGAGTGCATCAATATCTGGACGAACACCAGGAGGAGCAGACACCAAACCAGAAAGAGTACCAACCAGAGGAGCAACAGAAGATCGAAAGGATTCACGGAGTAAGCCCAAAGGCTTCTCTTTCGTCAATTTCGAGAGCTTCCATTGACGCCGAGGAGCCAGAACAGAATCACCAGGAGCCACAGTGTCATCGAGAGGTGGCACATACCCGAAAGTAAGTGACATCAATCGATGGTCAGAACCAAGAGACAGATCAGACTCAACCACCAGTTGAGGATTCACCAAAGCAACATCACCAATATTTGTCAAAAACAAATCAATGATACTACTCAATTCTTGTTGCTGCCGAAAAGAAGAGTACGTCGTAACACCAAAAGCCAAAGACGCATTGAGTACAGACAAGCAGTGTTCATCAAACCAAGGTTTGAGAGCATTACCACGAGCATTAGAGATAGCATCACCAGTGAGAGAACCCAACCGAGCATTGAAATCGCCACATAGAATAGTATCCCTAGTCATAGGTAATGAACTAAGGGCCGAGAGCACCTTATCAGATGATAAGGGTGGAGGTAAGTATACACAATGGACCGTAAGGGAGCCAACCTTAAGGGACAAAGTATGCGGATTATAGGATGGGAGTTGATAGACAGAGTAAGGACAGGAAGGAGAGACAAAAGCAGTAATACCACCAGAACCACGGTTGAAGGCACCAGGTACTTTCGAACCGTAAAGATGGTATTGGGACCAATCTGTAGGAAAAGAGCCAGAAGTTAGCCAGGTTTCAGTAACCAGCAAGACATGAGTATCCAGGACATGAGAGAGAACATCGTGAATCACTGATTGACGAAGACCATTGGCATTCCAAAGAGAGAGAGAGACAAATAAGGAGTGGACAGGGTTATCATTTTGGGTATACAGTATCGAGGACTCAGTGGTGGAACACATTATTGTTCCATAGCAGAATCTTCATTGCGGTCAGCCTTAATCTTGCGACGGAACAAGAAGTTAGCCCTCTTGGGTTCCTTCTTTGCAAAGCGTTGAATGGCATCACCAACAGAAACAGAAAGGTCTTCGTCACAAATCCAGCCTTGCTCAACAAAGTACTTACCAACACCACTGACATTCAGAGGACGTAGGAAAGCTAAGGTTTGCAGACACCGAGCAGCAGTAAATTCCATGATCAAAGCAGTACGTTGATCCAGAGTCAAAGAGTCATACTTAGGATCAGCTATGTTAGCAGGGTCCAAAGGGTCAAAGTCGAAGAAGAATTCAGCCTCACAAGCCTCCAAAAGTGCAGTAAAATCCTGAACATATTGCACATGCACCAGGATGCCAATAACATCGGATGCTGGGAAACAGATGTCAAGCACACGACCCAAATCAACGCCGGCTTTGCGCAAGAGAGAGCGAACTTCAGAGCGTGCAATCTTCTTAGATCTACCAATATAAACATATTGGTAACCTTGAGGACCTTTACGAGCAGCAGTTGTAAAGGCGCGACCAATAGCAAGACGCTTCTTAGCTTGCTTAGCTTCAGTAGCAGGATCAGGAAGAGTAGCAGCAGCCTTTGCGACATTTGCATAGCTAGGTGATTTAGTAGCCTTAGTATTCATAGAGCCAGTAGTAGTTTTGAGGGTTGACCCCTCTACCGCCGTGGGCCGACTCGAACCAGAGGGGACCACGTGACCGGAGACTGCACCCTGCAATTTTTGAATTGCAAGGTCCTTGTCCTGTAAAAGTTTTTTCAACTCTGAATTCTCTTTTTCCAGAGTATCTAAACGAGCAAGAAGACCATCATGTTCGTTGACGCGAGCAGTAACCGAGGTAAGTTGTTCTTGGAGCTGATTAAGAATCATTTGAAGCTGATTCATATCCATACCCTGTAGATTGGTGGCCATGACGGAGAATATTTTTTTATAAATTTGAAAATTTTTTAAAAAAATATCAAGGAGGTGTTCGACAAATTTGAAACTATAACACAATAACTGTTACCAAAGGCAAGCAAAGTTGTGTAATTTCGAGTTGTTGGAGTTGGTAGTTATCGAGGAAATACGTTTTTTCTAGTCTGGAACAACTTTTTTCCGAAAACGGTGGCAAAAAGTGTTGAAAAACGGAAAGAGATGCCTGGGGATGTAGCTCAGTTTAACGTTGATTTTTATTATATACATGAATTCAATGGGCACTCGATGGGAGCATTAGCCTAGAATTCTAGAAACAAAGAGTAGCAGGTACAAAAAACCCTTATGAGGACACTAACGAAGAAAAAGGGAAAAAGGAAAGTGTGGTAGTTGCAGAGGATCGGCATGAGTACTGGTATTGTTGATTTGATCTGGAGGAATGACCAACGGATGGGAACTTTGATAATTACTTACCACCGTGGCATCGCACCGAGAAAGCAAAAACAACAAACGTTCATCAATGAGCAGAAAACCAGAGCGATCCAGGATCTGGATCTGGTGGGATCACAGCCAGAGGATGCACAAGGCAATCAATGGCATGCAACAAAAGGAGCAAAGCAGACCAAAAGTACGGTGGACCAGCTGAAGCTTTGTCTGGAAGACAGTTCAGAGCATGGTCAATGCGATGTACACCAGGTGGAGCAGGTGGCAAAGCATCAAAAAAGGTACGATCCAGAGCACGACATGTCAGAAAGTGATCTCGGGAGATAAACTCACCGGTAGTGCACGGACATTCTTCACGCATATTGGTGAAACGTCCAAGACGCCACCGCACAAGACGACTACGAGCAGATCGACCAATAGGCAGATACAGGATGGGATCTGGACGAGAGACAGACGGACGACAAGCACGAAGGAGAGTCTGAGCACCAGAAACAGCAGCAGCAGCAAGTTGACGATCTACTTGATCTTGCCAATACGAATCAAAGACTTCAGTAAGACCAGCAGTGGTGAATGGCGGCGGATCAGGCAGTGTTAGATACAACGGGTTTTGACAGATAAATCTGTCTAGACGAGTGTACAGTAAACCACGACGAAGCAGAACCAACAAGCAATCATCAGGGAGAGTATCAGCACGAAGGGCATAACGTGTTGTCAGAACGTTATATCGATGCTTCATGCTGGGAAGACAGGTCAAATGTTTGGCAACATTGTACCATGTACTACCAACAAACATACCAACCAATCGATTTTGCAGAGCATCAAGAGCCTTGAAGTCACGGAAAGAGAGATGAGATATAGCTAAGCCGTATTCCAGTTTGGGACGAATAAAGCTTTTATACAAACGAGCACAAAGCAACAGAGAAAAACCATTTCGATTGACACCAACCGAATTTAACAATGCCATTGTCTTGATAGCACCAGAAGCACGCAGATTGAGAATCCCAGGGGCATACAGACCTTTATATCTAAACGGCATACCAAGATACGTGAATTCCTCTACCACAGGAAGAGGTTCACCGTATAGAGACAATGGATGACGAGTAGAGGCAGTAGGAGCACAAAGTACAGCACATTTTGATGGTTTCCACCTGTAGCCAAGAGAGAACGAGTGATCTGAAGCGATATCCAACATGGTTTGCACATCAGTACGAGAGCCAAATATGGCCACATCATCAGCAAAGAGCAGGCTATTCACGCAAACACTAGGCATCCCAGGTGGTGATACCATAGTACCGCGACTGACAGCAGAACGAAGAAGAGCAGGCAGAGAGTTGATGTACAGAGAGTACAAGTGAGGGCTGAGCACTGAACCCTGCAATACGCCAGTAGCAGGCGAAAAGGGAACAGAGGTGTGATTTGCAATCAACACAGACACGAGTACATCATCGAACATGTGGATGAGCAAACTGAGAACTGAACGAGGCAGAGAAGAACGAGAGAGAGCATCCCAAATCACTCGACGATCCACGGTATCATACGCTGATTTGATGTCCAGGAAAGCAACCACAGGATAGTGGTGATGGGTGAGGAAGTAGTCGTGCATCAAGTCATGTAAACAGAGGGCTTAATCCAGAGGACTACGCTGTGGGCGAAAACCACCTTGAGCTACATCAAGTGCAGGCGAATGTTCATCGAGAGCAGGCATCAGAGAGAATTCGAACAATTTACGCATCACCGAAGTAAGCGAAATTGGACGAAAGTTTGCAGGATCAGATACATCACCTTTCTTGTAAATGGGAAAGACTTGAGCATGTCGCCATAGGGCTGGTGTATACGACCACTGAGAGCAGAGTGTAAAGAGCAGAGACAATACGGGTGCAATGTCAGATGCTAGAGCCTTCAGCATTTCAGCTTTCAAATGATCAGGACCAGGAGCTTTCCCATTTGGCAAACGCTTAATGAGGGAGACAAGTGTATCAGCATCAAATAGACCCAAATCAGCGGTGGACACATCATAAGGCAAATCAGAGAAATTGGACGGAGCAGCAAGGCGAGACGCATTATTCAACAGGGAGCCATCATAGACAGAGGCAAGATGGGACGCCATTGTGTTGACAGAGGCAGTTGGACCGTCTGGATGACTGTACGTTGCAGAGCATTCCTTGTTTCTTTTAATGCGCTTGATTGCAGCAGTAGCTTTCGAAAAATCCTTTTCCAAATCAGAGCAAAACTGATTCCACGATCGACGCTTAGCAGCTTGTACAAGAGAACGAAAACGCCTGTGAGCAGCTTGATAGAGATTCCATGTTTCGACTTTGGCAAAACGACTTGCCCACCTCCATCTACTATACATAGTATCTCTTTCACGAGCAGCATCCTCAATTTCCTGTGTCCAGTACTTTTTCCAGTGGCCAGGACGACCAGATTTCACACCAATTGAGCTATCCAGAGATTCATACAAACATTGATTCAAAGAATCGTTGATTGCATCAATATCTGGACAAACACCAGGGGGAGCAGACACCAAACCAGAGAGAGAACCAACCAAAGGAGCAACAGAAGTTCGAAAGGATTCACGAAGCAAGCCCAAAGGCCGCTTTTTCCTCAATTTCGAGAGCTTCCATTGCCGTCTAGGGGCCAAACCACCAGAGCTACCAGAACCAAGAGTATCATCGGGAGGGGGCACATACTCGAAAGTAAGTACCATCAGCCGATGATCAGAGCCAAGAGACAGATCAGATTCAACCACCAGTTGAGGATGTAACAGAGCAGCCTCGCCAATGTTTGTAAGAAACAGATCAATGATGCTATGAACCTCTTGTTGACGTCGAAAAGTTGTGAATGTGGGTGTACCAAATGCTAAAGACTCATTGAGAATGGAAAAAGAGGACTCCTCCAGCCATGGCAGTAGTGAGGTACCACGAGGATTAGCATTAGTATCACCCAGTAGAGATCCAAAGCGAGCATTGAAATCACCACAAAGGATGGTATCACTGGTTACGGGTAACGAGCGAAGAAGCGAGAGCACCTTATCCGAGGATAAGGGTGGAGGCAGATACACACAATGAACCGTAAGGGTGCCAACCTTAAGGGACAAAGTGTGTGCATTGTAAGATGGAAGTTGAGAGACAGAGAAAGGACAGGAAGGAGAGACAAAGGCAGTAATGCCACCAGAAC